AATCTTTCACATTCACATTTGCCCCTAAACTTATTAATTCTTTAACTTGTTTCACATCTCCTCGAATAGCAGCCATGTGTAAGGGAGTTTCACCACGTTCATTTCTTTTATTAACTTTGTCTTTCTGACGAGATGAAGAACTGGGAGTTTTCTTTTGGGCAGGTGTTGTTTGTGATGGATGACTTGGTGTGGAATCTGCAAGAAACAAGAAAGTTAGCAGAAGTTCTAGGCTAAATGTTTTCCTGGAACACAAGGAATACCTTCTCACTCTAACAACCTAAACCTTGATTTGAATGATTCGTTAATGGCCCAAATACACAGAGGAGATCTTCCCTTAGGGTTATCAAATATTATGAGCCAATTTAAAAAAGTGTTAACTCATAAAATTGGTTTAAAATGATAAAGTATCAAATATGTACTCTAAAATGTTTGCTTAATGATAATGTGATGAGCTTCAAAATATTTTTCCTAGGTATGTTATGCTATTATTCTAAGACCTAGAGGAAGTGAAATTGAAGCTATAGTCCACACTTCCAACTCAGACATAGCACTGCAGTTCTAGTCTTATATTATGTGCAAATCAAGGTCATTACGATTTTACTATGAAAATGAAAGTGAAGAGCTACAAAAAATAATGGCAGTCTGGAAAAGGGCCTTTAAAAACTGTGCTTTGCCTTGACTCCCTTATTTTGATATTTGTTCTAGTTTCTGTATTTAAAAAAGTGAGGAAGTTAAATTAGATGATGCCAAAGGTCTCCTCTCCAATTTCAAAACTACAAAAAGTTTTTTTGAATCCTTAATTAGGAATTCAAGACATACATACAGTGTTTACTCTGAAGATTTACAACTATTGAGAAGAAACTGCTCTAAGAGAAAAGAAATCTGTGAAAATTAACTTTTTACCAGTTTTAAAACCTAACATGATTAGAGCTCTAAGGCAGTACCATCCTTTCCTCAAAAAAAAAAAAAAAAAAAAAGTTTAAGGTTTACCTTTTGGATTTTTTTTTTTTTTTTTTTTTTTTTTTGAGGCAGAGTCTCGTTCTGTCACCCCGGCTGGAGTACAGCAGCCCTATCTTGGCTCACTGCAAACTGTCTCCTGGGTTCGAGAAATTCCCCCACCTCAGCCTCCTCAGTGACTAAGATTACAGGGGGGCGCACGCCACCATGCCCAGCTAATTTTTTTATTTTTTAGTAGAGACGGGCTTTCACCATGTTGGCCAGGCTGGTCTCAAACTCCTTGCCTCAAATGATCTGCCTGCCTCGGCCTCCCAAAGTACTCGGATTACAGGCATGAGCCACCACGCCCAGCCCTAACTTTTGGATTTTAAAGTACATTGTCTCAGTAATAGTTTCCTACCGAAGTTTTTCTAGAAACTTACATTCCCTAAGAGAAGGGCCTTATTTATCCTATTCATCACTGCTTAGAAGACTTCTTAGCACACAGTGGTATTCAATAAATATTTGTTGAATGAGTAAATTTTAATATAATCCTTAGTCAAATTATTTGTCAAGAGAATTTGCTTGCTGAATTTCTTAAAATCTGAAGACTTATCTAATGGATAAAACAACCATAAACTCCAAGTATATCTACATGATGGCAAACAGCTTGATATTTAAAAAGCTTTCCATTCTAATTCTATACATATTAATACAGACAGTGGACTAAGAATCACCCTTAAAAGGACCAACTGCAGAACAGTGTTATAGTATACTGCCCCAGAAATATAGATAAGAAACTGTTAATAGTGGTCAACTCTTGAAGGGAGGTCACTGGAGATGACAGATATTTATTTTTTTGTCTGTCATATTAAACTTTTAAGAAGGACAAAGGCTCATGTTATTTTAAAAAATGTCTTTCCATTTAACTATTAAATCAGACTCAAAGTCAAAACTTCACAGAAAGAGGCAAAGTTTTTACATGGTAAAATATCTTTAATTTGGCCACAGACAGTCCCAAGTTAGAGGTGGAAAAAAGGTAGGAGTAACCACAACATACTCTATTAAAAGCAGGAAGCCCTAAAATGTTTTTTAGCAGTGACAGACATTAGATACATTCATGCTTTGAAATTACGATACTTAGAAACTCAAGAATTTAACTATGTCGTCCCATTTTTTTTTAAAGAGGCAATACAGGAAAAAACTCACTGAAAAAATTATCTTTTTCAATGCATTTCAACATGATCTATTATGTAACCCAGTGTCTTATATAATTCCTTTGAATTCAGGGCCAAAAGAAATTTTCTCCAGACAAAAGTGATTTACTTTCCTGAATCAGTCAATGAGAACTATGTAACTCAAAATTTTTCTTTTGTACTTTTAGTTGCCAGCATGCATAGGTAAGTTCAATGTGACTAGTAATCATCTCAGGCCAGTTGTTTGGATTTTATCTACCTTTTTAGCAACCTTTTATAAATTAGCACATTTTTTGGTTTGTTCCCTTATTGTTTTTGTCCTGCTAGTAAGTCATCATCAATTATTTTTGGAGCACACAGCATATATATAAACACACATACATGTGGCACAACGCCTTAACTGAAAGTGTGACACAAAATATGATAAACATACTGCTGACATTTTTCCTTATAAAAGAATTCAGATCTTAATAAAATACAGATTATGCACAGTGTAAAGAGTCTACTCTTGTATAGCTTCTACTTTAGCAGAGGATACAAATGATAAACTGTCACACAAACAATATCATAAAATTACCACTAACTTACAAGTAATACTGATTAAATTCAAGAAATAACAAAAATTAAAAGTAGTTAAAATAATTGTTAAGACAAGGCTTCAGGTGCCTGAGGAAAACCAAGGATACACATTAACTCAATGATGGTAGGTATCACCTGGACTGTTGTCTCTTGCCGTCATCTGCATAAGAAGTGCCATCTGTTTTCGCTCAGAGAGTGGATAACCAAAAAGAATGCTGACTGGTGTGGATTTCTTATTTCCAGCTTCTTTTTTTGTTTTCTTCTTTTCTGGACCTTCTTTCTCTGGAATTATTAATAAATATGTAAGAATTTGAAGCCAATCCAAGTATTAAAAAGCAAATGTAAGATGATTTGATAGATGCTATACATATATATGAGAAATGTGTATGATATATGAACTAGTAATAGCCAGACAAAAGCACAATGGTTTTTATATTACATAAACAATTTTCTTCCTGATGGCTTTGAAAACAACATATTCTTAATTCTATTGTTTCCAGAAAATTAGTAATACTTGGAAACTTATTACTAGTAAAATTTTACCTTAATGAGTTGTTTTAGTAAAATTTAATTCCTTGATAACACTGCAGACATTCCTTAGTATTACATCTCTGAAACCTCTTTTATTCATTATAACTTTATTCGTAATTGCTGATAAGCCTAAATAGCAATGCTCCTTCAAATTACTTAATTTCAGCAATGATTTATACAATCTTCCAACAAGGGAAATATTTAGGGCAAGTCTCATCACACAGAGTAAGTATTGAAAAAAATTACCAAATCATTTTATTCCAGTCATAGGATAGCTGAACATGAAATGACATTAATCAAAGTTAAGAATGAGCAAATAATAGATTCTATGTGGCTATGGGTTAACAGATCTTGCAAAGATCCAAAAATTTTCAAAGACCTTTTCAAAGAGATCTGATCCATCATAAAGTTAGCTCTCAGATTGAACTATCTGGGAAACTCATTAGCAACGAAGCCTGCATTCCCCATTAAGGGTCAGAAAATTCATACTGAACTGAATTTTGTAAGTAAGAGATACAGATGTTTGTCTTTTATGTAAGACTTCTTTGCGAGTTAATGCAGGTGCTCTGTGCAACGAAATACAGAGATCTGGCTATTACCTGTCCAGGCATCTATTTCTTGGGAAACCCTACACAAATATCTGGAATTTATTAATCCAGGTTTGAGGGTACCTGCAACGAGGAGCTGCAAACATTAATATTTAAAAATAGCAAAAATAGGAGAAGGGAAGGCTTAGTTGTCAAAACATCGTCTTTTTTTCAAGCAGGTAAGAACAGCAGCTAAAATAAAAGATAAGCATGTATTAATCTAGCAAGTGTAAAGAAACTAATTAAAACCTGATATTAGCAAGCAAAAGAAATTAAAGTAATAATTGTTCCAGCGTGCCACTTAATTAGGATAAACTGTCACCTTTACAGCTGAGAAAAATCGGAGGTCCTAATATTTAAAAACTCTGCTGCCCACAAATCTTTCAAAAATTATTTCCTAAAATGTCCATTTTCTTAAATATTTGATTTTGCATAAAAGCAAAATTTCAAGACTTATTTAAATCAACTGTATTTTTTCCAGTATAATCTTTTGTTTTCATATTTCTTATTTCATTATCATTAATGATCCAATTTAGTATAAATCCAATCTCAGCACAGTTATTTTCCTAACTTATGCTATCTTATAAAGCCCTAAACAGGTCTTTGAAGAAGCCAATTTTTTCCTGAAGCATATATGGAGTCCTTCTCTTAATTTTCTGTGTTTCTTGGTTCTCTGGTATTTAATAAGGAACCACAATTGTTATTGTTTTAATGGTTTTCTATTTGAATAACAAATCTTTATAATGAATATTTCTCTTCTAAAATTAATGTTTGACATTATGAAATTTTTTAGAAAAGATGTTTCAAAGATAAGAAATAAAATCTAGTAATCAGAGGAAACAAAAAATGCTTAGCATCTCTCCTCAAAATATTGTCTAAATATTGGGGAAAATTTTGCATTTTTGTTTGCAAAACAATTGCCTTTTTTGTTTTGACTGTATTTTAACACAAGGTTTTTAAAAAGCCACTCTAACGTGATAAAGTAATACATACCCAGGCAACAGTAAAAAGATACTTATAAATGGTATCATTAGAATTCCATGGTGCCAAATATTCAAAGATGTAATTATTTTGGAAAGAAATAAACAAATTGAATATATTCCAAATATTTAAAGCAAAAATTTGAATCAGATGCTAGCATCCAATATAAACTCTATTTTCTTTGAGGTGTCATAGTCATATGTCTGAGTTCATATTCTGCATGAGACAGGAAACTTAAGTCAACAGCAGCTGGTATAAGGCAGCTAGGATAGAGACAACCATGCTGTTTGTCAAAACTGTGTTAAGACTAGTATGTCCCAAAATATGTGGTCAACATGGTGAAACCCCGTCTCTACTAAAAATACAAAAATTCAGCTGGGCATGGTGGCGCGTGCCTGTAATCCCAGCTACTCAGGAGGCTGAGGCAGGAGAATTGCCTGAACCCAGGAGGCGGAGGTTGCGGTGAGCCGAGATTGCGCCATTGCACTCCAGCCTGGGTAAAAAGAGCGAAACTCCGTCTCAAAAAAAAAAAAAAAAAAAAAAAAGATTCAGTACCTAAAAAATGTACTTATTTGCCCTAAAAATTGGCAAGAACTTTGAAGTTTAAATGTAGATATACTCACAAATGTGCTCAGTTAGCACAGTCAAATATAAACTTAAGATCCATTCAGACAGCCTAGAGATTTTTAAGAAAATATACAAGAGACTGGCTGGGCGTGGTGGCTCATGCCTTGTAATGTCAACACTTTGGGAGGCCGAAGTGGGCGGATCACAAGGTCAAGCAATCGAGACCATGCTGGCCAACATGGTAAAACCCTGACTCTACTAAAAATACAAAAATTAGCTGGGTGTGGTGGTACACGACTATAGTCCCAGCTACTCGGGAGGCTGGAAGTGGAAGTAGAACCACTTCAATCCAGGAGGCAGAGGTTGTAGTGAGATGAGATCGTGCCACTGCACTCCAGCCTGGTGACAGAGCAACAGTCCGTTGCAAAAAAAAAAAAAAAAATTTCCAAGAGATTCATTTAAGACTATTCAAAACAAACAGAGAAATAGACTTTTCAACACTCCAACATTCTTTCAAAGGTTAGAGATCTTCAGATACACAAAGATGTTCCAGTTTTATAATGCTGAAAATTATGCTTTCTTTTCAGGTCCTGTTAGAATAAATAGAAAGCTCAACATTGTCACATCCTAAATAAGTATAAAGTACTTATTAAGAAGAAGAGACAAAATTGTTTTTCTTAGGGAGCTTGGTTCATAAACTTATTAGTGTCTCAAAAATTAAAAGAATACAACATCTTCTTACAAAGCAGTCACTATAAGAAACAATGGAGTCACAACTCAAATATAGATTAACATAATTAAATCAATCATATTTGCAATGTACAGACTTCAATTCTGAAAAAAAAAATAAACTGCCATTACTCTCCTGTTCTAAAATACCTACATGAATCTCTAATTAAATGTCTGCATCTTTTGATTTCCAGCAACGATACTCAGATTATGGATGGCTTCATACACATACAGCTCTTTCAGGGGCATTCTGGTGCTTAGAAGTCACCTTGAAAGGTGACTTTTTTTGAAAAAAAGCATGCCTAGGCAGATTATGAGGTCAGGAGTTTGAGACCAGTCTGGCCAACATAGTGAAATCATGTCTCTACCAAAAAAAAAAATTCAAAAAATTAGCCGGGTGTGGTGGTGTGAGCCTGTAATCCCAGCTACTTGGGAGGCTGAGACAGGAGAATCGCATGAACCTGGAAGATGGAAGTCGCTGTGAGCCAAGGTCGCACCACTGCACTCCAGCCTGGGCAATGGTGCCGGACTCCATCTCATAAAAACCAAAACAAAACAGAAGAGACAAGAAGAGAAGAGACGAGATGAGAAGAGGGCAGGGCAGAGCATGCCTAATCCACAGTAACTAACTGGAAATATGCCCCGCCTCCCTCAATTTTGGTAACAGGCACTATATCAACTCAATTAAAACTTTCAGGATAATTTTAAGAATAATTATTTGGTTCTTCCACTGTCCCACCCAACCCCACAAATGAATAAAATAAATAAAAAGTATATTAAAAGCAGGTTTACTTTAGTTTTTATAGCTAAATGTCATATGCTGAAAACTAGACACTTAGACACCCAGGGGCTAAATAATATTGACATTTTTACTTAAGTTCAGAGATAACAATGTTAGCCAATTTTTAAAAAAGACAATCAAAAACATTTAATCAGCTTTCACATGCTAGAGAACACACTTATTTTTTAAGAGGACACAGTACTTGTATATTCTCTTGTATTCTATCTGGAGCAATGTAACATATAACAGGTGCCACAGCTTAATAGAGAGGTTGCAATACAGTTAGTTGTAACAGCATTTCTCTAGGTGACCTGGTATTTTAATGCACTTACAGTTAAATTTAACCTAAGCAACAAAGTCAATAAAGGCTAATGAGTTCAATAGAAAAATAATTTTATTAAATGTTTTTTAAAAAACATCACATGACTGAAGGGTAAGATGACACTGTCTCTTGAAATCAGTATACTTGGTAAACCCTGTGATGGGTATACACAGAACGCTTGGGTATCTTCCCACAGGAGTCACTGCACTATGCAACACCAGGGGTTGACTTTCACATTGTTTTCTACATGAATGGTATTCCCTACATCGTGCTATAAAAAACTGGGATGGAGGTATATGGCGGTCCTGCTACAAGGTTCACACATAGCTTGTGTTGGATATGATACACAGAGTACCTTGGAATAAAAATGGGAAAATGTGGTGTCACCAATGTAGTTCATTTATTTAACCAAAGATATCTATATACTGGGCTTGAAAATCAGTTACTTGTAATACAATAATTAATTGTAAATGTGACAGAAACCACTGGCTAAATAGGAGCACCTGATAATCTAATTACCTGAGTATGTCCTGTAAGAAGATATAAGTCTCTCCCCCCAATTTTCACTTGTATGTCCTGGATCTGAATCTACAGAATGAGAAGAGACAGGAGAAGAGAAAAAAGCACACGGAGGGAAATGCAGAATTCAACAAACCAACATTTTTCAAAAGACTACAAATTAGTTAATAAGCTATCATTGTTTTTCCAAAAGATTATTTTTAAAGTAAAGCCAAAAGTATATTTAAAACACAGGTTTGGTCAACACCCAATATTTCAAATTCTTCAACAAAAATGTCTTAAAGTTGGGAAATTCAACCATGCAGTTTCAATAACAGGTATTACTGATGTTATGTATTAAAATATACTCTCTCTTTTGAGGCTATGTATTTTTCCAATCTCTGAGTAACAGTAAAAGAGGCAGTACTCTATCATTAGTTTTCAGTTTAGAACTTGTCTTTAGAAAATCTGAATCAAGCTTTTTGTGCTATGAGTGACAAAACTACTCTGGAGACAGTAAATCATGGTGGACTGCACTATCATCCTAGACCACAGGCCTTTCTACAAATTGTATACACTTCAAATGATATACATTACTGCAGTGCTTACTACTGAAAACCACCTAGAAAGAAAGTAACCTAAATCAAAACAAAGTTTATCAGTTAAGAATATGGAATTCTGGCTGGGCGCAGTGGCTTAAGCCTGTAATCCTAGCACTTTTGGAGGACTAGGCGGGTGGATTACCTGAGGTCAGGAGTTCAAGATCAGCCTGGCCAACATGGTGAAACCCCAGCTCTACTAAAAATACAAAAATTAGCCAGGTGTGGTGGGGCACGCCTGTAATCCCAGCTACTGAGGAGGCTGAGGTAGGAGAATCACTTGAACCCAGGAGGTGAAGGTTGTGGTGAGCTGAGATCATGCCACTGCACTCACGGAATTCTGCCTAACAATTCATGACAGAAATACGAATATGGAGAACTGACCTTGGCGATATGGCGAGAGCAGATATCTTTACTTATTAATGTATTTTGATTTATAAATGCCATTTCAACTCACAATATTACTGTGATATTCATATCCTCAATTGACAAACTTTTTTCCAGGATCACTGTTACACAGTATTCACGATTTCAATTAGGTATAAATAACCAAGTGTTCAAAAAAAAACTTAGAGAACAAGCAACCCTTAAACATAGTATTTGAAAATTGTACAGTAAGCCTAAAAGTTTAGTGATGAGGTTTACTCAACTGAAAGAAGAATCATCAATAACATTTAGACCAACTCGAAAGTAAATGGGCTGAATGGCAAGACTTTCAATGAACACATATTTCAAAATGGAATACATTAAGTTAGCAACTACAAAAATTTCATGAAAAATAATATTTGACATTTAAAGACAAGCAAAAAATTTTAAATAACATCCATAGATTGCAAAGCAAACCAGCAAGCATTAAACTGTGCCAACTGGATTAAATGAATTATTGAAAGCAGATATCATTTTAATAGATTAAAGCACAGTGAATAAACTAATCTTTCAATTATATTCATTAATGTAGTTTAACAGCTCAACCAAATTTTCCTTCAGATGTAAGCAACCACTCTGACCCCACATGCTCTTTGGCTTTTACTCAAATAAGTAGTTTATACTGGGAGCATCTGAATAGTCTATAAAGCTTTAACTCAGGAACTGGAAAATTAAAGCTTCTATTAACATATACCTGTCCCCTTCCCCAACTACTTCCTTTTATGCTGTACGGAGACAAGGCTGTGTGAGATTACCACTATTTCTGAGATTCATGTAAAACACTGAGTGCTAAGCAGAGCCATTCTCTCCCACATATGTTCTCTGTAGCGAGGCAGAACAAGTGATACTTGTGTTTTAAAACCAATCTTTTTAAGTTAATATTTTACTTGGGTTGCAAGAGAATCAGAGAAAAATGTCAAAAAATAATTTTACAAGTCTGTATTGTATGTCTGAAACTTTTATAATGAAATATCAGAAAGGGAGCAGAGGCAAATCTATCAAGAATAACTGCCATGAAAAATCACCAAAGGTGGTTATTCTTATTAAGCAAAGCACTGATTTTATCTATTTTAATACATTTCCCAGAAAAATTATATCTTTCTGTTTTCTTATTAAAAGAAGCTCCTCTTTCCAAATTTGATTGAGTCACACTAAATATGGTAAACCCTTAAATGGCATATAAAGTCTTAGGAAAATAGAACTAAGGCTGGCTGGTAGAGATTTAGTTAATAAAATTTCAACATATTCTACAACTGCCACCATAGACTTTGAGAACACATCATACTGTGTTCTCTGAATTTTCTCATAACATACTATCTTTTAAAAATGCCAAAAAAGGCCAGGTGTGGTGGCTCAAGCCTGTAATCTCCGCAGTTTAGGAGGCTGAGGTGGGAGCATCAACTGAGGTCAAGAGTTTGAGACCAGCTTGGCCAACATGGTGAAACCCCATCTCTACTAAAAATACAAAAATTAGCTGGGTGTGGTGGTGCATGCCCGTAATCTCAGCTACTCAGCAGGCTGAGACAGAGAACTGCTTGAACCTGGGAGGCAGAGGTTGCAGTGAGCCAAGACCACACCACTGCACTCCAGTCTGGGTGAAAGAGTGACATTCTTGGAGGAGGATCCAAGATGGCCGTTTAGGAACAGCTCAGGATTGCAGCTCCCAGTGAAAGCGCAGAGGGTGAGTGGACGCCGCATTTTTATTGCCCACAGACTAGGAAATTCCCAGGCGGAGAAGCTCCACAGGTAACCAGCGCGGCTGTTTCAGCCAGTGCGGCTGTGCCAGCGGGCACCGCTGCTTTGCCCCGCGTGGCTGCTTTGTCGGCGCCCTGGAGCAGCGGTTCTCCGCACAAAATTCACCAGTCCCAGTGCCCTTTTGGCTGGCGATTGGAGCCACAGGAAGTCGCCCATTCATCTGTTTAAAAAGGGGACTGAGCAGGGAACCAGGACAGTAGATTCCAGGGCAAAAAAAAAAAAAAAAAAAAAAAAAAGCGCCACAAACCTCAATGCCACTGTTTAAGCCAGCGCAGTGAGTGGCCGCAGGGGAAAACAGATCCCGGCGCCTCTTCAACAGGTGACTGGAACACAAACTTAAAAAAGGCTCTGAGGCAGGGAGCCAGGCGATCAGGCTCAGCTGGTCCCACCCCCACAAAAGAACAGCAACCAGAAACTCTGGATTGAGAGTTTCACAACAAGTGCAGCTGAACCCAGGACGGTCCAGCTCTGTGGGGGAGGGGCGTCTGCCATTACCGAGGCAGCCCGCCATGACAGAGGTAGTCGGCCAATGCTGTGGCAGCCCGCCGTTACCAAGGCAACCCGCCACTGCTGAGGCAGCCCGCTGTTGCCAAGGCAACCCGCCATTGCTGAGGCAGCCTGCCGTTGCCAAGGCAACCCGCCACAGCAGAGAGACTCCATCTCAACAGAGGCGGGCCACAATCGCCAAAGCAGTTCTAACTACACCCATATAAACAGGACTGCAGGAAGTTCACTCGGCAGCTGGGCAGAGCCCACAGCAGCTCAGCAAAGCCTCTACAGGCCAACAGTGACTAGGCTGCCTCCTTGCCGGGCAGGGCAGGTCTGAAGGAAAAAAGAAAGAAGGCAGCAGCATAATGTAAACTCATAAATAAAGCCCTAAATCCCTGGGACAGAGCACCTGGGAACAAAAAGCAGTTCTGATGCAGCAGACCTAAACGTACCCGCCCAGCAGCTCTGAATGAACAACAGGGCTCACAGCTCACCATTTGAGCTCCTATAAAGAAGAGACCGTCTCCTCAAGCAGCTCCCTGACCCCTATATATCCAAAGAGACACCTCATAAAGGAGAGATCAGATTGACACTAGGCGGGTATCCTTCTGGGACAAAGATAGAAGAAGAAGAAAACTGGTGACAACCCTTACTGTTCAGCAGCTGCTGCAGGTCAACCCCAGGCAAGCAGGGCCTGGAGTGAACCTCAGCAGACCTACAGCAGAGGGGCCAGACTGTCAGAAGGAAACCAAGAAACAGAAATAACCTCATCATCAACAAACAGAACGTCAATCTGAAAGATTTGAGACCCAATCTGAAAGCCAGCAACTACAAAGTCGACAGGTGGATAAATCCTTAAAGATGGGAAGAAACCAGTGCAAAAAGGATGAAAACACCCAAAACCAGAACACCTCTCCTCCTACAAGGGATCACAACTCCTCACCAGCAAGGGAACAAGATTGGAGGGAGAACGAGTGTGATGAAATGACAGAATCAGACTTCAGAAGGTGGGTAGTAAGAAACTTCTGTGAACTTAAAGAACATGTTTTAACCAAATGCAAAGAAACTAAGAAGCTTGAAAAAAGATTTGATGAAATGCTAACGAGAATGGACAAAATAGAAAGGAATATAAGTGAATTGATGGAGCTGAAAAACGCAACACGAGAACTTCGCGAAGCATGTGCAAGTATCAACAGCCGAATTGACCAAGCAGAAGAAAGGATATCAGAGGTTGAAGATCAACTCAATGAAATAAAACGGGAAGGCAAGACTGGAGAAAAAAGGGTAAAGAGGAATGAACAAAGTCTCCAAGAAATGTGGGACTATGTGAAAAGACCTAATCTACGTTTGATAGGCGTACCCGAATGCGACGAAGAGAATGAATCCAAGCTGGAAAATACTCTTCAGGATATTATCCAGGAAAACTTCGCCAACCTAGCAAGGCAGGCAAACATTCAAGTCCAGGAAATACAGAGAACACCCCAAAGATATTCGTCAAGAAGAGCAACCCCAAGGCACATAATCGTCAGATTCACCAGGGTTGAAATGAAGGAGAAAATACTAAGGGTAGCCAGAGAGAAAGGTCGGGTTACCCACAAATGGAGGCCCATCAGACTCACAGCAGATCTCTCAGCAGAAACCCTACAAGCCAGAAGAGAGTGGGGGCCAATATTCAATATCCTTAAAGAAAAGAACTTTCAACCCAGAATCTTCTATCCAGCCAAACTAAGCTTCGTAAGTGAAGGAAAAATAAAATCCTGTGGGAACATGCAAGTACTCAGAGATTTCGTCACCACCAGGCCAGCTCTACCAGAGCTCCTGAAAGAGGCTTTGCACATATGAAGGAACAACAAGTACCAGCTCAACTAAAGGGCAAAATACACAGCTAGCACCAAAATGGCCGTATCAAATTCGCACATAAAAATATTAACCCTAAATGTAAATTGACTAAATGCCCCAATCAAAAGACACAGACTGGCAAATTGAATAAAAAGCCAAAACCCATCGGTGTGCTGTATCCAGGAAACCCATCTCACATGCAAGGATACACAAAGGCTCAAATTAAAGGGATGGAGGAAGATTTACCAAGCAAATGGAGAGCAAAAAAAAGCAGGAGTTGCAATTCTCGTCTCTGATAAATTAGACTTTAAAGCAACAAAGGTCATAAGAGACAAAGAGGGACATTACATAATGGTAAAAGGATCAATGCAACAAGAAGAGCTAACGATCCTAAATATATATGCACCCAATACAGGAGCACCCAGATACATAAGGCAAGTTCTTAATGACTTACAAAGAGACTTAGACTCCCACACAATAATAGTGGGAGACTTTAACACCCCATTGTCAACATTAGACAGATCAACCAGACAGAAAATTAACAAGGATATCCAGGACTTGAACTCAGACCTGGACCAAGCAAACCTAATAGACATTTACAGAACTCTCCACCCCAAATCCACAGAATATACATTCTTCTCAGCACCACATCACACCTCTAAAATTGACCACATCATTGGGAGTAAATCACTCCTCAGCAAATGCAAAAGAACGGAAATCATAACAAACAGTCTCTCAGACCACAGTGCAATCAAGTTAGAACTCAGAATTCAAAAACTAATTCAGAACCGCACAGCTTCATGGAAACTGAACAACTTGCTCTTGAATGTTGACTGGATAAAAAATGAAATGAAGACAGAAATAAAGCTGTTCTTCAAAACCAACGAGAATGAAGACACAACATACCAGAATCTCTGGGACACATTTAAAGCAGTCTCTAGAGGAAAATATATAGCAATAAGTGCCCACATGAGAAGCAAGGAGAGATCAAAAATTGACACCCTATCGTCAAAACTGAAAGAGCTAGAGGAGCAAGATCAAAAAACCTCAAAGTCTGGCAGAAGACAAGAAATAGCTAAGATCAAAGCAGAACTGAAGGAGATAGAGACACAAAAAACGCTTCAAAAAATCAATAAATCCAGGAGCTGGTTTTTTGAAAAGATCAACAAAATAGACAGACCACTAGCCAGATTAATAAAAAAGAAAAGAGAGAATAACCAAATTGATACAACAAAAAACAATAAAGGGGATATCACCACAGATTCCACAGAAATTCAAACCATCATCAGAGATTATTACAAACAACTCTATGCACATAAACTAATAAACCTGGAAGAAATGGATAAATTCCTGGACACTTGCCTCCTGCCAAGCCTAAACCAGGGAGAAGACGAAACCCTGAATAGACCCATAACAAGGTCTGAAGTTGAGGCAGCAAGTAAGAGCTTACCACCCAAAAAAAGCCCAGGTCCAGATGGGTTCACAGCCGAATTCTACCAGACATACAAAGAGGAGCTGGTACCATTCCTTCTGAAACTATTCCAAACAATACAAAAAGAGGGAATTCTTCCCAAATCATTTTATGAGACCAACATCATCCTGATTCCAAAATCCGGCAGAGACTCAACAAGAAAAAAAAACTTCAGGCCAATATCCATGATGAACATAGATGCAAAAATCTTCAATAAAATACTGACAAGCCGATTGCAACAGCACATCAAAAAGCTTATCCACCATGATCAAGTAGGCTTCATCCCGGGGATGCAAGGCTGGTTCAACATACGCAAGTCTATAAACGTAATTCACCACATAAACAGAACCAAATACAAAAACCACATGATTATCTCAATTGATGCAGAGAAGGCCTTTGACAAAATTCAACAGCCCTTTATGCTAAAAACACTCAATAAGCTAGGTATTGATGGAACGTATCTCAAAATAATAAAAGCCATTTATGACAAACCAACAGCCAATATCATACTGAATGGGCAAAACCTGGAAGCATTCCCCTTGAAATGTGGCACCAGACAAGGATGCCCTCTCTCACCACTGCTATTCAATATAGTATTAGAAGTCCTAGCCAGAGCAATCAGGCAAGAAAAAGAAATAAAGGGCATTCAAATAGGAAAGGAGGAAGTCAAATTGTCTCTATTTGCAGATGACATGCTTGTATATCTAGAAGACCCCATCGTCTCAGCCCCAAACCTACTGAAACTGATAAGCAAGTTCAGCAAAGTCTCAGGATACAAAATCAATGTACAAAAATCACATGCATTCCTATACACCAATAAGACTTAAAGAGAGCCAAATCAAGAACAAACTTCCATTCACAATTGCCACAAAGAGAATAAAATACCTAGGAATACAACTAACAAGGAACATAAAGGACCTCTTCAAGGAGAACCACAAGCCACTGCTCAACGAAATAAGAGAGGACACAAACAGATGGAGAAACATCCCATGTTCATGGTTAGGAAGAATCAATATTGTGAAAATGGCCATACTGCCCAAAGTAATTTACAGATTCAATGCTATCTCCATCAAGCTACCAATGACCTTCTTCACATAACTGGAAAAAACCACCTTAAACTTCATATGGAACAAAAAGAGAGCCCGCATAGCCAAGTCAATTCTAAGCAAAAAGAACAATGCGGGAGGCATCACACTACCTTACTTCAAACTATACTACAAGGGTACCGTAATCAAAACAGCATGGTACTGGTACCAAAACAGAGATATAGATCAATGGAACAGAACAGAGGTCTCGGAGGCAACACAACATATCTACAACCATCTGATCTTTGACGAACCTGACAAAAACAAGCAATGGGGAAAGGATTCCCTGTTCAATAAATGGTGTTGGGAAAGCTGGCTAGCCATGTGCAGAAAGCAGAAACTGGACCCCTTGCTGACACCTTACACTAAAATTAACTCCAGGTGGATTAAAGACTTAAACATAAGACCTAACACCATAAAAACCCTAGAAGAAAATCTAGGCAAAACCATTCAGGACATAGGTGTAGGCAAGGACTTCATGACCAAAACACCAAAAGCATTGACAACAAAAGCCAAAATAGACAAATGGGACCGAATCAAACTCCACAGCTTCTGCACAGCAAAAGAAACAGTCATTAGAGTGAATCTGCAACCAACAGAATGGGAAAAAACCTTTGCAGTTTACCCATCTGACAAAGGGCTCATATCCAGAATTTACAAAGAACTAAAACAGATTTACAAGAAAAAAACTAACAAGCCCATTCAAAAGTGGACAAAGGATATGAACAGACACTTTACAAAAGAAGACATGCGTGAGGCCAACAAACATATGAAAAAATGCTGATCATCACTGGTCATCAGAGAAATGCAAATCAAAACAACATTGAGATACCATCTCACGCCAGTTAGAATGGTGATCATTAAAAAATCTGGAGACAAGAGATGCTGGAGAGGATGTGGAGAAATAGGAAGACTTGCACTGTTGGTGGGAGTGTCAATTAGTTCAACCATTGTGGAAGACAGTGTGGCGATTCCTCAAGGACCTAGAAATAGAAATTCCATTTGACCTGGCAATCCCATTACTGGGTATATATCCAAAGGATTACAAATCGTTCTACTATAAGGACACGTGCACACGAATGTTCATTGCAGTACTGTTTACAATAGCAAAGACCTGGAACCAACCCAAATGCCCATCGACAATAGACTGGATAGGGAAAATGTGGCACATATACACCATGGAATATTATGCAGCCATCAAAAACGATGAGTTTGGGTCCTTTGTAGGGACATGGATGAACCTGGAAACCATCATTCTCAGCAAACTGACAGAAGAGCAGAAGATCAAACACCCCATGTTCTCACTCATAGGCGGGTGTTGAACAATGAGAACACATGGACACAGGGAGGGGAGCACTACACACTGGGGTCAGTTGGGGGGAAATAGGGGAGGGACGGTGGGGGATCGGGAGCTGAGGAGAGATAGCAAAGGGAGAGATGCCAGATGTAGGTGATGGGGAGGAAGGCAGCAAATCACACTGCCACGTGTGTACCTATGCAACAATTTTGCATGTTCTTCACATGTACCCCAAATCCTAAAATGCAAGAAAATAAATAAATGGGGGGGGAAAAAAAGTGACATTCTCTATCTAAAAACAAAAACAAAAACAAAAACAAAAAAACCTAAAAAAAATTAGTAAACTATTTGCTTACTAACAATGCTAAGAGGAAACAATTATTCAAAGATAAAAGGTGACAGTCAATCTTTCTGATTAAACATGCAAACTAAAATGACAAAGGACTACTGGTTTATCTCTATAGAACATAAGATTTCTCAACCTAAAGAAAAACATGTCCCCCAATGCTATTTGAGGTTAAAGAACATTTATATACTGCTGAAGGCTATTGGAGAAACATGAAGAATCATAAAAATATTTAACCCTTTTAACACTGCAATTCTACTCCTGGGAATGAAAAAAAGAAATAATTCAAGGTATGACAAAAATCGCAATCTGCAAAGATGCTCCAGATAGCATTATTCATAACAAAATAATTGTAAATTTTGTTTGATGGCCAAGAAGAGACTCTCACATGTAGCTTCAAGATAGCTGTTTAACATTTTGACATTAAGAGGCTCCGGCTTTTCCTTGGACACCATAAGACTAGGAAAGAAATTAAGTGTGATTTCGTGACTAATAACGCAGGAATAAAGTTCACTTAGGTAGAAACTTTAAATTATTAAGGATAACAAGTTATCAGTTATTGATTACACTTTACATATGATGGCAGATATTGTAAGATACCTATACAATATTCATTATCCTCTTCTTACCAGGAATATCTCCAATTTTGATCAGAGTAACAATATGCCTTGCCAAAAGTATTTGATTTTTCAGACTCCCTTGCAACTAGAACAGCCTAACCAATCAGATGCAGAAACAAAAAGGTCACTTCTCACTGGGAAAAAGACATTTTTGTTCTTGGTCTTTTTCCTCCTACTTCCTATCCAGGAAAAAGCAATAATCTTGTGATTTTAAGGAAAAATGGTTAAGGACAATGCCCATGTATTAGCTAAGGGTGGCAGAACATTAAGATTACAAGAGATCAGTGCCTGATGGCATTATTGAACTGCTATACTAACCCTGTACTGCCTATGCTGGGCCTTCTTACAGCATTAAATTATAAAATTCCTATGTATTTAAACCGGTGTTAGTTTTGGTTATGTTTAGTTTTATAAGCTAAAGTCACATGCTATGTCACTTGAAGGTCACAATTCTCTGAAATTGATATTATTATATGTATTTTTACAGACAAGGAAG